AACAAAATTTTTTATTGAAATTTTTTTTTTTAATTTATAATAATCTATTTGAAAACATTCAATATTCCTCGAACATTTCGTTACGGGACGGGAAGTTCCAGCAATTTGCCTTAAGGCACGATGCCATACACCCCACTAGTTTATCAATAATATGATAATGAAAAATTATTATGCGAGAAATGCCAAGCCCGAGATAACGGGGTCTATCACCTTTTATGTATAATAATACGGCTCGTTTCTTCTACTAAATTTGACGTTATGCGAATATGTAAAAATTTGCATATTGAAAATGATTCATTCGGAAAGAAAAAAGACAGATAGAAAAAGATTGAAAAAAGCCAAAACGCGCACGCACGCAAGACGTTCAAACATAAAGGTATCTTCGCGGGTGTCAATTCATTATTAATCTCATCCAAAAGATGCTGCCAGGAACGAAGACACGCCAAAGAAGAACAGACGCGATGTAAAAAAAATATAAGTTGCCTTAAGAATGCTATTCGACGATGTTCTTGAAAGAAGGCCGCGCGCCGGCGCTCGTTTCCCGTCTCTCGTATTATGCTAAATACAGGATTACTGTGCGAGAATTGACAAGCACAAACCTGGACAAAAGTCGACCCACTTCTTGTAGGTACCTGTTTTTGTTTGAACTTGCACTAATATCAAGAATATTTTCGGGTCCATTGAATTTTCGGTAAGCTCTCTTCGATATTATGTATTTACGGGTAGTATGCTTTAATGGCTATTTTACGTTTTCATTCTTTGTTGAGCATTTTATACGGATTATTAAGCATTTAAAGTTTGACAACTTTGCAGGATTAGGGAAAAAAATCTTTGGCAGTATTAAGAGCAAATATTTTTGTGCCTGTTTGTCAACAGATTTTAATTAGAAATGCTAATACCAAATATAAATATCACCAACAACTATATTTTTTACGTCTCATTCCTGGTCTGGTCTTTTCAACTACAGTAGAATCCGATTAGTATGACGCCGGATATATTGACAACCGCTTAATATGACGTAATCGCACTAGGAATTTGGTTTCCATATAAAATTCCTTAATAAAACAGCTGTCTAGTCGGATATATTGACATTGCTTACATTGACATGTCGCTTATAATGACCCATTTTTGCAAAAAAATATGTCCAATTATAATGACCGACATGATTTTACATGATGTGGCCAAGTCTACGAAAGCAATTGCTATGTCTTTCATGCACACATATCTTTTAAACACCAGGGACTGTTTTTACAATAAAATTATGTAAAGAAATCAATTAAAAACACATTTATATGTTTATGGGTAGGGTAGACTCAAGTCTACGAAAGCAATTGCTATGTCTTTCATGCACACATATCTTTTAAACACCAGGGACTGTTTTTACAATAAAATTATGTAAAGAAATCAATTAAAAACACATTTATATGTTTATGGGTAGGGTAGACTGATTATTAATGACACACCACGGATATCTTATAAACAAATAAAATTAGATTTTTTTAACAATTATATTTGATAGTAGAGGGCTAAAAATGTATAAATTCATAACCAGCCATCACTTTTATTCTAATGACTTTGCTATCAGAAGATAAGCAGCACATGACTGTGATAAAAAGGACCATCTGAACCTTTACTTTTGGCAATAAAATAGCCTTTTTCTGTATAAATTTTCGAGTTTTATAAATGGTTCATTCTTTCTTAGTGATTTTTTTTGTTCATAAAAGTTAATAAATAACAAACTTGGTATTGTTACTATTACTAGAATCCCATGCTCAATATAATATAATGAGAAAAATGCTTGCATTATATTATATATTACTAAATTTCAATATTTTCACATTGTTTCTGCGAATAGAATTCGTGTCACGCTATGGATGTCATAATCATTACCATTTGCCCAGTCGGAATCTATATACCGGCGATGACTCGGAATTGCCAATTCCATTGATTATATTTTTATTACCGAGAGGTTGCTACACATATGAAACAATCAATACTTTTATTAACATTTATAATATTTTATAGTCTATTGTAGTGCCTCGCGTTCAATATTACTGATTAGCCTTTAAATGGTAATTTTGCGAATGAAAAATGTTTAGGGTTTAACAAAACTTAATAATTAAACTATTTTTTTATATCCGTTTAAACATATTTATTTACTTTCAAATAATTTATATTTTTTTATAAAAAAATTATTTAATTATTTTTTATGTATTTACTCGATTAGTTGTATCTTTAATTAATGTATGAGCACATCAGACAATCTAATTCAAACTTTATAAAAAATGGCATTAAACGACGAAGAATTTTTTCAAAACTTTTTCTGCAATAAATATCTGCATATGAATCCGGGACTACGAGTGATATAATGAAGCAATATAGATGCAAATATTCGGCAGTTAGTCTAAAGAAACTTTTTTTTAGAAAGATATATATATATATATATTATATATATATATATAATCGTACAAGATATGTATGTTATATTTTTAATATTCTATTAAATATTAAGGCGATAATTTCTCAGCAGCCAAAAACTTGAAAAGAAATAAATTAGAAACTTTCAATCAATATACTGTTTAGCTGTAATACCCATAATTTTGCAAATAGCAATCGATATCATACAAAAGATGCAATTAATATGTCAATCATATAAAAGCGCCATATAAGTAATAATTCTGATTGCGCTTTCAACGTCGAACGTCTTGTGAATGCAATCTCAGCAATAAAGTGAATAATATATATGTACATACGTATATAATTTATAAATAAAATATAAGCACTTAATTAAAAGTATTAAAGACGAGAAGAAAAAAACAAAATCATTCTGAAGAAACATTCGTTAATGGAAGCTATACTACACCATTATGAGACTGATAGGGATGAAAAAAGCTTTCATCGAAATAGACAATTATTTCTAAATTTAACGTTGTTATTAATAACAACGTTAAATTTAGAAATAATTGTCTCTTTCGATGAAAGCTTTTCATCCCTATCAGTCTCATAATGGTGTAGTATAGTATTGTTAATAACAACGTTAAATTTAGAAATAATTGTCTATTTTGATTAAAGCTTTTCATCCCTATCAGTCTCATAATGGTGTAGTATAGCTTCCACTAACGAATGTTTCCTCAGAATGACTTTGTTATAATGCATTACAGAATGACTCTTATTTCATATTTTGACAATTTGACAATTTACACATTTGGTTAATAATATAATCATGATAAATCTATTATACTTTGTTATCATATTGTGGCTCTGTTCTAATTTCTCCCACCAAAAAATTTTGGAAAAAAGTAAATACATAAAATATATTTATTTTTTAGCATAAATGAAAATTCTGTTATCTAATTATTTCACATTATTTTTACTATAATTCGGTATATAATTTTGTTCGTTATTTTCTATAGAAAGTCTTTGAAGAGAATGATCATGTTTAAATATTCTTGACGTTGAATTTGGCATTTTATCTGAAGAATAATTAATTAGTTTTGTCTTTTCACTTACGAATAATACTAAAAATTCTTAGAAAGGCTTTGAAGAGAATGATGATGTTTAAATATTCTTGACGTTGAATTTGGCATTTTATCTGAAGAATAAATAATTAGTCTTGTCTCAAATGGATTATTAATATATTTTTCAGTCTTTCCTCTGCAAATATCTTAAGCTTAAATATTCAATGTGTTAATAATCTCAGGTATCGATATAAAAATCGATATTTTATTAGTATCTATCTCCCTAGCAGCGCATTCGGGCCAGGTACGTCGATTTGGTTTCTCGCTCTAAAACACGCTTGGCTCAGGAATGCGCTGGTTCATTGATGTTTTTCCGACCCGAGCAGCACGCGGGTGGCCATTGCACCACACAGGACACAGGACATGCTCAACCTTTTACAATTTCTTTATACAATAGAATTTACTTTTTTTCACAGTAACGTCTTTAGAAAGATACTTAGAATATAATATAATATTTACAAAAACTTTGTGTGATTTCTTAATTTTCACTAACCACTTCTAGTTATACAGGCGACGAAACTTGTTTCAGGTTGACTTTCAAATGCGTCGTGGTAAAATTATCACATTTGAGTAATTGATAATGTGTGAAAAATGTAAAATTCTACATTTAAAACTTAACATGCACCTAGAAGTAATGAAATTTCGAATTCTGATTGTAGTTTTAGTTCGTTATTAATACTGGATTTTCATAATTATTGCAACTCTACATCTCTACATTGTGCAGTAAACAATAATTGCAACTAACATGTTGGTAATAATAATGTAATATTTCTTTATTTTTTATGCATACCTTGAATAACATGTAGCAACAAGTATTAACTGGATTGCAATTACATACATAATCAAAGAATAATTTAATATTAAGAATTGTGCATTTTTTGTATCGTAAAGTGCATGTGTTTTATAAACATATGATACATAAAAATTAATTTTATTCATTTAAATTGCATTTGAATATTTTATTATAAACCTCACGTATTATTTTATATCTCGTCATTCATTCTCCGATATAGTGTCAAATTTCTACTATGCGTATCCAGTAATTTGATACTGTTACAATATTTTGATATCTCATTAAAATATGGACTCATATTTAGCTTTTTTATATTATATCTGGAAATGAAATTATTTGTTATATTATGCTAGCAAACAGTATAAGGATAAATTCGTATAATAAAATAAAATATGCATTTAGACAATACTGTGTATTTTTAGCAACTTTCAAAATAGCAAGAAGATTTTATTATAAATTATATAATATCTTGTATCATGTGGTAAATAGCAAGACTTTGTTTCCATTCCAAATCATCTCCCAAATCACGAAAAGATCCATTAAAATAAAATGATTATAGTATATTTAGTTTGTATTATATATTTTATTATACCATATTTAATAATAAAGATAATTATTTTTGAATAAGGATTTGTAAAAGAGTTTTTTTTTCATTTTTTCATTATCAATGACTTGTTCTGTTATTTTAGGTGCGCAAAGTTTGCGGTCATTCAATTGTGCTCGAAGAAGGAACGACTTCTCACACGTCCACTGGCAGTGAAATTACCACTGTGTCACCACCGCAGATATACACGAAGCTGATGCCTTTGTCCTCACCTGCTCCTCCACCACCACCACCAGACGCAGAACTTCTGCAAAGTCTCGCGGCTGCCCACGAATCAAGAGCACTCTATGCAATATCAAGTTCCTTGTTCATAAATGCAGCATGTGGAAAATCTACATTTTTATTTATTTTGTGTTTTTAATTATACATGCACATTTTGAATTACTTAATTAATGGATTCTAATTTAACTACAGAGATGAAGCTTATGCAGAAACTAGCGATGGGTCAAAACATCACTGTTGGAATGGTCAAGGAATTTCCGAATACACACATACTGTCGTTGATGCCAGCGCAACTGCACAAAGGTATAATCCTGAATTTGGCATTCGACAAGTGCAAGATGATCCTCAGGTAAATACAATAGTTATTAAAAATTAGCTTAATTTTTAACTGATTTAAAATTAAATATTTTGTGTTTTATTATTTAAGCCAAAACTATACAATACAATTTGTGATATATCAACTTTATGATTTCAAAGTTCACACTTTATTCAATAGAATCTTTTTCTTATAGTATTCAAAAATTGCGCGGCTGGCCGACAGGTTGCGCAGGGTTACATCCGACGCGATGTCCGGTTTACGAGAGGAAGGCGCTTTTGGTGCAGGTTCCCTGGCAGGAAATCCTGGAGATTTAGCCATGGCTGACATGGCACCTGATGGTTCAGGTTCCGGAAGGGGTGATTCCGAATACGATGAAGTGTTTGAAGAGGGTTCCGGCTCCGGTGACGGAATCGATGGAGGTAAGAATTGTTTTGAAAATTTTCAGGTTCCTTCTGCTTGCATACAAAACCACTTAACACAATTAATTTTAAAATAGTTTTTATAGAAGGAGAATAATAATTCTGTTTATATAATTGTGGATTTTTCCAAAGAAATAAAGGAGCTTTAACCTTATTTCTTCAATTTTATTTGACAAATTACTTATTTTTACACAATTTTTTTAAAAATATTAATACTAGTAATATTTACATATATTTTTGTTTGCATTGAGTTATTAAAGTAAGTATTTAAAACTATTACAAGTGTTTTTTTTGGTGTTGCATGTATGTGCGCAGAAGGAACAATAATTATTGCTATGATGGAAATAAATTCATGAAATTATTTGTTTGAAACTATTTTGTAATTATTTTTTCTTAATATTTTCAGAAGAAGGTGTGAAAATTAATGAAGTGACTCCAGATCATACGAATGAAATACAAAGAACTGCAGGTGCATCACACACACTACCTACACTGTGTGTCACGTTAATTTCGTGGATTGTAGTCTTCAATGTCCATCACTTTCGATAATTTGAGACTAACAAATTGATGGAAATTTAAATCGTCGAACGAATGTTAATTATAGCAGGTTTTTTGTAGAACGGTACCTTTCCATTGAAAGCTATATTTAATAGTTATATATGAGGGTTCTGTAGAACATGGTCAGTGTAACATTTTCTGAAAGTGTTTGTGATAAAAATATCACAGAATGAGGGTTCTGTAGAACATGGTCAGTGTAACATTTTCTGAAAGTGTTTGTGATAAAAATATCACAGAATGAAAAAAATTATAGAGATTAATATATTTCTATTTATGCCATATTGATTAATTCAGCTAATCTATAAACAACTTTTCGACTGTTGTCAGTTTATATTATATTTTACCTTTGCTATATACATAATTGTTTTTAATTAATAATTGGCTGGATATCTGAAAATTTTTATCATATATCTTTTACCATCGGAAAAACCATTATATATATATATATATATATAATATGCATATATATTATAGAATAGAGGGAGAGAGAGGAGAGAGCAAATTTTTACCTTAAAGAGTAATTTTTACTAACCCTTTTAAATCGAATGTGCCATTCTAAATTATAAGTAAAAAGCAATAATTTTTTAAGAAAATATTAACTTATTACATTTCTACTTAAATGGTATTTCAGTTTACCTGATTTTACAAAGAATTTTGAAATCATTGCAAATGAAATTTTATTATACTTTAATACAATCAAATGTTAATTTTAATATGAAACATAACTAGAACTATATCTGTATGTAATATTCATGTGGTTCGTGTAAATGAGTGCTCCTGATGTTGACATTTGATATATAATTTATGAAGAATTATTGTATATATATTCTAGATATAAGAAATAACATTTTAAAATGCAATTTCAAATTAAGAAACTTCCAATATTGGTACTATTTGATAATATCTCCAATGGCATGTAACTTTTTAATTAGTTCTAGAAATCATTTGTATATTTCTCGCATTTTACAGCATGATAGCTGTTAATTTCTAATTCATAAATCAGCAATACAATAATTTTTGCGAATTATCTGTGATTTGTGATAACCATGAATTATGAAATGGTTATGGTTTATAACAAAAATATTTGATACGTGTGAAGTTATTTTTCTCTGATCTAATAGAATTTGTGGTAAATTATAGAATGCATGAGTATGAAATATGCAGTATTCGATATAGTTGTTCTTTGGTTATAAAAGTATTGTACATAGTCTATCAAATTCTTAGTGTAAATAAAATATAGTCGAGTACTGCCAATTGTTACTATGGAAGTAGTATTATCATGATAATTACTTCAAATATTAGCATTATATTGAAAAAAAATTACCATAATTCCTTTATGTGACACATCTAGTAAATAAAACATAATATTTGGATTAATTTTGAACATAAATTATGATTTATTGATATCGCTATTAATAAAATTATATTTAAGTTTATATATTTATAATCAGACTTTGCTAAATTTGGAGGATTATAGAGTGAATGATTTTGGATTACAGAGAATAACATGTAATATATTAATATTGTAAGATGATAGTTGAATTGAATGATTGATAAATGATTGAAATTCATTAATCATAGAACAGGCTTTTTTATATTTATGCTTAATTTTTATGTAAATTTTGCTTTTGATCGCCCTATTGTAATGATAGTTTATTAAAATTGTATATAATGTTTCTAAAGACTGCACAGATATACCGACTTGCACAAAGATTCATGCTTTCACAAATTTATACATAAACGTAAATACCTAGATGCTCAAACCGCGATTTTCATATTTATTCCATTGTGGCTTTGCATGCAAAACTATACCTTGCTATTTACTTTACTATTTTCATCATTTTTTTACATTCTATAGTAGATTGGTCTTATAAAATTTCTACGAAATAAAATCAATAATTGAAAATTTTGGTTTACTTCAAAGTAAATGTGGCATAAAAGTATAATTTTTTGAGTGAATTCCGTTTTAAAACTGTGAACGTCGATAGTAAAACATAATATACAATTATAAACTTAAATAAAAATGATTATAGACACAAGCCTGCTTTATGTACTAATTGATTATAGTTATAAATAATATAATTGAATATACCTAGTCTTAATTAAAATATATATTATTTAATTACAGTATGTGTTTTATTGTTGTACCATAAATACCTTTGCAACCATCCACAGCTTTTATTGCAGTAACTGAAACAAGCAATAATAAAATTGGCATTATTATCTAGAATCTGGAAGAGGATTTTTGTCTTATTGCCAGAGAGTTGTATATAGATAGTTATATAGTTTTATTCTAGACGACAAGCTGTTTCATACAAATTTATTAATAAAAAGTGATACTTTTGCGCAATTTATTTTTACAAAACAGAAACGAATCCTGTCTTATGACTACGAAATGGCGAAATAAGGAAGTATAGATAGATAAAAGAAGAGTATATACTATAATATAGATAAAAGAAGAGTATATATGGAAGGTTACTCTTCTTTTATTTATGAAACAAACTAAAAGGGTTTAAATGCAAAATGTTTTATCATCAATAGCATAAATTCAAAAATTACTTTTGAGATAGATTTATTTTGCATAAGCTAGGTTTTCTGCATTTATTAAATTGTATAAAATTAGAATATTAGAATCTATTCAAATAATAAACGGACAAAAATTCCAAGAGCAGTCTCTAGTTATCGATACTGGATGTTCGATATGTATCGTGTAGTCAACAATCGATAGTCAGCCGTCAGAGCTGTAGGGTGCGTCCGGTCAGCCGTCACCTATCAATGGAAATGTGTGTTGCTCTGATAAAGTAAATATTGACTTACAATGATTCCCAGATATTTCTACAGTATATTTTATTAACAATAAAATGTATAAATATTAGAAAAAATGTTGTGGTGATGAATAGTGTAAAAGTCGTGAAGGCATTAATGAATGTGATTTGTGTAGTGACAAAAGTATAAATATAAAATATATTGCAAAATGGCGCATCAATTGGCACCTTCAGTGAATTGTTCATTAGATGATATTGATTTGAACGCTTTGAAGGTAATAATATTAAGTTTATTCAATGTAGTATTTGACTAAATATGCCTATTTGCTAGCTCTTAAATAATATTTCTTTATATGTTCTATTGATGTTTGCAACATTCATGACAGCTCATTGTGTTTTGTTTAATACTCGTATATGAGTAATCGCCAAAGAATTTTTCTTGTGTTGAATTCTTTGTATAATTATTGAATTTATTTAATAGGATCCAGCCGGAATATTTGAACTTATAGAAGTAGTCGGAAATGGAACATATGGGCAAGTCTACAAGGTAATTGCCAAACTCATTGTTATTCACTAAAAACATTCCCAGGAAATTTGTCTCATTCTTTTTTGCAGAATGTATAATTATCATATTTCTCAATAATCAATTGAAGTAGAAATAGAAATATTTTTCATTAAAATTCTCATATTGTTACTATCATACATTTATTAAGTATATTCTTATTTATATTTTTACTGTTTTTATATTTGTTTTTATAATTTATCAGATTTTTAACATATTTTGATAAGCCCCAATTTAAGAAATTATAATATATAATTAGTAATACAATTTAATAATTAAAATATTGTTATGTTCTTTGTTATATTCCTTCTTTTCAATCTGACTGGGAATTTAAGTAGAAAATAGTATGATTATGTCAAATGTGTTACACAATTATCTGTTTGTCTGAAAATAGTTCATATAGTATTGGTTTTTAATTAGCAAATTAATGTTAAATCGTAATGATTGGTACACACTATAAAACATTGGAACAATTCATTTTCATTGGTTTTGATTGTTAATGGATTAATCCAAAATGAATTAATATTAAAGGGGCGCCATACGAAAACCGGTCAACTTGCTGCCATCAAGGTGATGGACGTCACTGAAGATGAGGAGGAGGAAATCAAGCTAGAAATAAACGTACTTAAAAAATATAGCAATCATAGAAATATAGCTACTTACTATGGCGCTTTTATTAAGAAAAGTCTTCCTGGGAAGGATGATCAGCTGTGGCTTGTCATGGAGTATTGTGGAGCAGGTAGTTTATTGAATTAATTTGGTAAAAGTTTTTATAAACACAAGTAGGAAAATACACAAAGAATTATTTAATTTAATTTTCATAGTTACCTAAATTATTTATTTCAACAGGTTCAGTAACTGATTTAGTGAAATCAACTAAAGGGCAGAGTTTGAAAGAAGAATGGATAGCTTATATTTGTAGAGAAATTTTAAGAGGCCTTGGTTATTTACACACAAATAAAGTAATTCATAGAGATATAAAAGGACAAAATGTTTTGCTTACAGATAATGCTGAAGTTAAGCTAGGTAAATTTTATTTTTGTATTTAATATTAAAACTCTTGTTTGAACCAATAATTTAATATTTTATCTTATGACAGTGGATTTTGGAGTCTCTGCTCAATTAGACAGAACAATTGGAAGGCGAAATACATTTATTGGTACTCCTTATTGGATGGCTCCAGAGGTAATTGTCACAAAATACCTGTTTAGATTTTTGTATAAATATAATATAAAAATTGACATGCAATAATAATTGTCTAAATTTTATATTTTAATATTATTTTTAGGTAATTGCATGTGATGAAAATCCTGATGCTACTTATGATAATAGATCAGATCTTTGGTCATTGGGTATAACGGCATTGGAAATGGCTGAATCTCAGCCTCCACTCTGTGATTTGCACCCGATGAGGGCATTGTTTTTAATACCACGAAATCCCCCACCAAGATTAAAATCTAAAAAATGGGCTAAAAAATTTCATACATTCATTGAAACTGTTTTAGGTAATTATGTGAGAATTTATTGCAATATAAGATTAAGCAGTGATATATTCAATTAAATTTTAATCTAATTGTTTTGGAAATCATACATTTATTAAATAGCATTTTTTTAATTCATCTAATTTTTTAACTAAATACTTTACAAACATATCTGCTTCATTTTGCTTAATTTTGCTTTTTAGTGAAAGACTACCATCAGCGACCATACACTGAACAACTTTTAAAACATCCATTTATAAAGGATCAACCAACAGAAAGACAAGTTAGAATACAATTAAAGGATCACATTGATAGGTAACAAATTCTTACTTTCTTTATCTTAATTTATCATAATTTTTTATACATTTAACACTGCTAACTATATATATTTTTAACTTTTTGTTTCTTTATTTACTTATTTCATTTGTTCATTTTTGTTTTCTTAGCATATTATTAGTTTCTATTATTTGAACTGGTGTATTATATTTTGATTGCTCAAGTTGTGCTAGAATCACGAACAATTTTTTTTTTACATAATATTTATATTTTGTGTAATCTTGCTTATTGTATTTCTAACAAGGAATTAATTTTAGATGTAAAAAACGAAAACAAGAGAAAGAGAGGGAAGATTATAGATACTCTGGATCAGATAATGAAGAAGAGGAGGTGGGTCTTGCTGGTGAACCGTCGAGTATTGTTCAAGCACCAGGAGGTGATACATTGAGAAGAAACTTCCAACAAATTCAGGTAATAGTTATTTATAAATATTATTATGTAGCTTAATATATCACAAGTTCATTTTACTGAATTAAATAAATATTTGTAATGAAGTATGATTCTAATGAGAGATATATGATTATTTTTCAATATGAGATACAACTGTTATTTCAGGAGGGTCGAACGCTATCACAATTGGAAGGGCCAGCGAGTAGTGCACCAGCAGTAAACAGAGGTGGCGGTGCAAGCCGGCCAAGTGGAAAGGAAGCACAAGAACCTCCACCAGAGCCTGGGCCACCAGCCCGTCCGGCACCTCTGCCGCAAAGGCTTATTGTTGTACCAGATCCACCACAAGCAACACCCCCTCAACAACATCCTGCTAGGTACAGGTATATAGATGTGACATGTGTTATGTTTAATTTTTAATTTTTGTCATTTTTATTTAAATTGTTTGTAGATAAAGATAAAGAATAAAAATTTGATAGATGTAAATCACAACTTCAACTGATCAAAACTGAATCAATATTTCATAATTTTTATATTTTGGCGTTTAAATTATTAATATGTTTTATTTTCATTAATTTCATAATAATATACTATGTTATAAAATATTAAAAATGTGCATTTTAGGCCTCTTCCGCCGACACCTAGATCTTCTTCAAATGCAACTCCAGCACAGCCGCAAAGAAATTCACAACATGCATTCAAGCCTATGGTAATATGTTCTCTTAACTTTAAATTAAAGCTTTTAACATATGATTTGGTTTTGCATATAATTAATTGGTTAATTGTTTACACTGTTATTATAGTTGATATACATTTACTTGTGCAAGCTTAAAATGTGCAAAAATTTAAATAGTGATTTTATCATTAGGCACTGTTTTTTCTTATACAATAATATAAAATTCTAATTTAAATTAAATTGCTTGACAACTCAAACTCTGTCATTGCATTACCGTAATGTAGAAACTCATACACTAAGATTAGTATTTTTTCATTAGCTTTGTTTGTATTGTTTTGTTTACATGATGGCACCCTTCTTCCACATGCACAGTTGCCTCCACGCAGACCTGAGGTGGGTTTACCTTATATGTATATTAGTTTATTTTAAATGAAATCTAATTACCTTCAAAATATAAGATTTTTCCATTTTTTTATGTTTGTTATTTTAAAATAGTTATTGTTTATTGCTCTTATTATTGATTATTCCTAATAATATGATCTTCATAAAATTATTATAGAGTCTTAAAGCTCCTAAAACTGCTATTTTTTTCCCTAGTAGATTATTTTTTACCTTAATTGCATGACTAAACTAAATTATTTGAAAAAATGTGTTAAAATAACCTTTATCATCAATTATTGCAGGATTTAGATATGTTGGCAGCACAATTAAATGAATTAGGAGTGTCTTCACCTCAGCCTGAAGCACCACCTAGGAACAGTAGACCTAAGGCACCACCTCCTACTAATAATCATACGAGTAAGATATTTGTTGAATTATAGTTTTATTAAAGTGATAAAAATATTTTATGCTATTTTAATTTGTTGTAATTTACTTTTAAGTAAGTAAATTATTTTCAAGTTTTTATTTCATGTGGTCTTATTTTAATTTATATCTTAATTTCATGTAATTAATATATTATAATTTCTTGTTTACCTTAAATTATTAGCCTGTTAATATATTCATTTTCTTAAAATATCAATAGCATCCAATAATATTTTGGAGCCATTGGATAGCAGTGACTCTGATTCAGAACCTGAGGAGAGTAATGGTCGTGTTCATAATGATGGTACCCTATTAGCAAGTGATCCCCCGAAGCCTCTGTAAGTGGAATTGAATTTTTGTTACACACAATAGTTATAACTAATATAGTTTAAATATATAATCATTCATTTTTTGCTATCGTTAGGTGTGTTAAGTGATTTGTATTAATTTAATTTGTATCTGCTTTTTATCATTACTGATTTACATCATTATTATCATTATTAAATTATTTAAATCGGTCAATTATTTAAATAGTTTATATATTGATTCAAATATCATAATGCAGATTCATAGCAAGTTCACTAACAACCTTTTTTTTAATCATCCCATCTGTATTTATCATTTATTTAAATATCATTTTACCACATTAATTACTACTTTTGATATATTTCTTAATTTCAATTATACTCTTATGTTTGCACATCAATGTGCTTTCCTTTTGATTTGTTTGTTTTTGCATCCCGTAAACATCCCCAGACCCGAATTTTCTTACAGGCCCGGGCTTGTAGCAGTTACAGAAGATAGTAATGGTCAAGGAGGTTCTTCTGGAGTAAACTCAGCACACCCTCCAGGTGGGCCCCCAAATAGACCATTGCCACCCACTCCTGATGATGATGATGCTCAAGGTGATCGAACACTTGTTATGAAAAGGGTAAGTTTAAAAACGAATTATACTTTAATATTGCAAAGTTCAAAATTAGTTTGCTTAATCACATCATATGAACCATTTTATATATAAAACAGTACATAAATGAATGATAAAATAATGTTTGCTACAGTATTTGAATTTCATCAAATTTTCTCTCTATTCTGAACAAGCAATTGAACAAACAATTGCAACAATTTTCTCTTAAAGTTTGATTTAAAATTTTTATTAGCACGATAAATATGGTTCATATTATGATTGGAATAGAATAAATGTTAGTGTATATATATATATATATATATATATATATATATATATATATATACATATTATGAATTAAAAATATATGTGAAGTGTGTAACAATTACTTTTTAAAGCCATTTCATGTATTTTTTTATTAAATATTATTACAATATCTAAATAAACATAACTTATTAAAGGGGGTTTGTATTTATGTTTTGGGATATTTTTTTTTATTAATTTTTACTACTTTCCCTCAAAACATAAACAATTTTGAATTTATTTTTTAAATCTTTTATTCCAAGGTATCAAAAAGTGATTTTTTCTGGTATTAATTTTGATAAATATGAAAATTTGGTGGAGGTTTTTAATTTAATTACTGACAATGTATCATGAATCATAATTCTCTAATATTATCAACTTTGATACAGCTATTATTGATTTTTCTTATGATTTTATAAGGGAATGGCCTACATAATGCAAGTTGGAGCTTGCACTGACTTCTGCTTAACATTTAAGATTAATTTGCTGATTTTACGAAATTTTGTACTTAATATAAAATGCATAATTTGCAAATTAAATACTAGAGCATTTCGTTATCGCTTCTTGTTACTAAATTGAATCTTGTTCAAGAAATTAGCATGCTATATCATTGGCATTTTTTAAAAGTCAATAACAGAACACAATTCACTTTTTGATATTGCCCATGTAACCCTAATTCATCTCTTTATTCTTTTTAATGTATCATCTTTAATCTCATCTTTAACTATATTTTACTAATTTTTTCTGTTTATCCAAAATTTTGTTTGCCTGCCACAACCTCATCCATTCACACCTTCCCTCATGACAGAAAAATCAAATAAACAACCAACAACATTTGGGAACCGAAGATGCCGTGTTGCTAAAGGAATGGGACTTTGCAAGATTCTTTCCCAATAAGTTTCCGAATAGCGATTCGAAAAATATAGACAACCAGAATAAAAAATCAAGCGATATTAAAAAAGAACCTCTTAAAGCTTCAGGAAAAAAGGAAAATGTGACTGAATCAAACAAAATAACAAATCCATTTTTTCGCGGTTTTCGACGCGAAAATACAGATTTTTTTCCGTTGTCAGCCAGGCATTCGGCTATTTATCTCGATCGGAATGCACAACCGGCTGGTCATAACGTGAATCGATCGAGCGGATTTTTTCAACGGAAGATGTCGACTCCAAACAAAAACGCAGACCCAGTATTAATGGATTTTTCAAATATTGATACTTTGCGCGCTAGTAGTATTGAAAAAGATCAGAAAAATAAAGATGGGAATTCTCGAAATGGTTCTAAACGTGCCAGTTCAGGCGCAGCGCAAAGTTTTGCTTTCGCCAATAAAAGTAATGAGGCTCAGAAAACGCCACCGCAAAATGCGGCCAAGCGCACGACCAAGGATAATAATGGTGCCACAAAAAATTTAGATTTTATGAGACCCCGTCGTGAGAAAACTGAATCTTACATTGTTTTAAGAAATTCGGTAACAAGACAACAACTGTTGGCTAATCAGGTAATATTGAACTGTTTTTTTCTCATCATAATTTGTATCGTTTGCTATTTAGTTCGTATTTTAATTTTTTTTCGTTATTTACGCTTATTGTTTTGTTATCAGTTTATGTAAAAACTTTTCATTTTAACATTATGTCATAACTTTTACTTGTGATTAACTTTGCTATTAACTGGAACCAGTTAATATACATTAGCTTTCTGATTTCATATAAATTTGTTTTCTTTGCATTTTTTACCGAACTGAAATTACATGTAATGGCAGTGAAATCATTACATTGCAATTAAAAGTCTAACAAAATTTGTGATTAACAAATTTTAAACTGTGCATAATACTAACAAATATGAAAAGCTTATAATAGATACTGCTTACATTTATTAACAGCATCGCGTGTTTGATAAAATGCAAAGACGTCGTCTAAACAATTTTTTGATAATCTCTTCAGTAAATCACACGCGATTCAGGCATGACAGAAAGTGCAAAGCACGAAATATAATTTTGGCATAAAAATATAAAATATGATTTGAGCATGGAAGTTTGCTACTACTCTACAGTCATCTCATGCAGCTCGTTCATATTTGATAATAAGAAGTGAAAAAATAATTAAACTTCAAACTTGTCAAATGATCAGTGCTGAAACATCGTGTGCATGGAAATATGCAAGATATTAGAAAACACTACAAAACTGCATTGTGCTGTATATTCAAATGCAACATCCGACTAGTAAAGTTTCCTGTGCATCAACTGTATTCATTCCTATTATGTCATCCTTCTCTTATCGTTACATTCATATTTATCAAATAGCAGATCATGCCTAGGAGACCACACAATATTTTTGGTATTATCATCATATACTTATAATACAGTTTAAAATTACTTATTGTTAGTGTGTAATTAGTAGAACTTATAAGCTGTATTATATATAATATAAATATCTTATTTAAATAAATATAAAGTTAATTATATATTAAAATATTAACATAGACTAAATAGTTGCAATATTTTCTAATTATTGCACGTGTTGGATCTAGAATAACAAATTATTATATAATCATATTATGTGTGTATTAATGTGTAGAAATAACTATAATTTCCGCTTCTTCATAGCTTGGGGATAAAATATAATAGGTCAAAATTAATTAAAATTACTACACTCAATATTTCTATGAATATTTTTGTGAGTAATTTAGTCACATTATTATACTTGCTAGATACATAATAATTAATAAGATTGAACTATAATAATGCAAATTGATTTTTTTTCATATTTTTAATAAATATGAAAGTACTGTTCAAGCCAGTTCAGTTACTGGTTTAAATTGTTTTGTGATCGATTATTTATGCAAGTATTATATATGTGGATGCAAATGCCATATTAATATAATTCAATGTCTTATTGTTAAACTTAAATGGTAAATGTTCTTTCATATTGTTATTTGGACCATATATTTGTTAACATAATTTTTCAAGTAAACTTAATTCGTTTCAATTCCAATTCTTCAACACTTCTTATCATTGCATAATTCTAAACTGCTAGTGTTTTAATGATTGTAAAAAATAACTTACTTTTATTTTTCTTACTGATTCCTTTTAGAATCGTGGTGAATCCAGTGGCTTAGGCACGCCGGGTACTAGGACAAGTGGCGTTCTTCCAGATCTCGTTAGTCAGGCCTCACCGGCTACCCCACCTTCAAGACATGACAAGTCTTCTAGTGAAGAGGTACGTTCTATGAACTTTGTGCATTTTCATATTTATTGCGTCTCTTATAATTATATTCATTTAGTGTCAGTAAAATAATTATTTAATTAGTATATTTAACAAAATTGAGAAGATGTGCTTGATTTGATACATTCATCAGTAATATGAATTATGTGTGCCACTTTTTCTACATAATGACATTTTATAAATTTTTTTTTTTTTGTGATACAATTTTGCTGGTGATAATGTAACCGATTGTTAAATTTCATCATAAGCGTTTGAAATGAGAATTCATTATAGGTGCGTAATTGAGAAATGCGTGTGATAAGTATAGTAGTAGAGTATCTCATTCATGTATTATTATTCTTTATAGTTTTCCTTACGACTATTCTATTATTGTACACAGCAAATTATAAAATATTAGATTCATGTAGAAATTAAAACATGGAAAGTTAAAATAAACATAAAAACTATTAGAATAATAATTATTTAGTTTCCAACAAAATTAATATAAATTATTTTATTTGTGGAAGTATGTTTTTGCAAACATCTTACGCAAAAAAGTAGATATGTTTGGAGTATATTTTTAGAGCAAGATATTTCATTCAATAATTTATTAAGTATAAGAATCTTTGAATAGATTTAGTTGTCTTATCAGGCAATTTATTTGGCTTTATATATAGTAGTAAGGTTTTAGATAATGTAAATCCTCCAAGTAGTTCCTTTATAAAACTTGAACATTAATTTGAAATGAATTTATACAAATATGCCATAAAACTATTTAAACTAGGGTTTTGTGATATATGCTGTTAGAGCGTACATAATTTCTCCATTCTGTTATTGTAGCTTTTAGTTGTGATTAACAAACTTTTAGGTCATACACACTTGTGATAAGGTGAATTATTATAAAATATTCATAAGTAGGCTTATTTCCAATGTCACTTCCTGCTTCATCTGCTATATTGTGTTTTCCTAAATATGATATCATGATATCATTCGGTGTCTTTGACGTATACTACTATAAGATTCAGTATTTCATAAAATATGTACAACTAATGTCTCATACATTTGTGTCTTTCTCTATTTTTTGTGTGTGGTTCGCCAACAATCACCACCCTGCAAATATCAATCCACCAACTCAAATCAAATCAAAATGCAATATCAAAAAACACGCGAAAAATCGTCCCGGTTGTCGAGAGATTGCGGAAAAGTGTTAAAAAGGCTCTGGGCTATGCGTAAATATAATAATTTCAGTAAGTATGTGTCACTAAATTATTGCAACCGATTGTTTTGTGTATTGTAGTTCTTCACTTTTTCGTTCTAATGGCTGTTTTCTGCATTATGTATATTTTAGACAAATTCTTCCAATGAATACATTTTTCTAATCATGTACTTATGGTGTACATTCTTTGGTTCGATTGTGCGCATTATTTTGGCTTCATTACATTTTATCATTTATTGTTATTCTATATCAGTTCTAATTCTTCATGTACGCTTATAACAAATTTATTTATCAAAATAATTGTTATGCAATTGATTTAAAAATTACCTCTCACAGTTAATCTTATTTCCAAACTTACACAAACTATGTATATATTACTTATATATCACACTCATACTTATATATATATACACACATCACACTCATACATGATCTTTGTATATTATATTCCTTGCAAATATTGAGTTAGGCGGTTTGGTTCATTTGGTGTCGTGTTTCAGATTAAGTCAAGGCTATGTGCCACTTACTAATATTTTTTTTTATTTATTATTCATCCACGTGGTTCGTTAAATTACTATTATTAATTCTTTTTGTTTTTTAACTGAACTATATTTCTTGTTTGTTGAAAATAAATAAGATTTTTACCGTTCTATGGATGTTACTTTTAACTATAAGAAGTATTTTATTAATCACCAACACCAGCATGTCCTAACCAAATACATACTCCTGGAAAAAGTTTAATGAGGCAAAATCGTAATTTAGCATGCCATATTCTACTTTCGAGTATGTGGGCTACTTCAAATGTTATACTGCTACATTCTTGATTTCAGAATATACACTTGAAACATGTGTTAAATATATTTCTTATTAATTATTATTTGGGAGTAGTTTATTCACAGCATGCTTTGTCTAAACTTGTCATTATCATGTGTTATATTTGGCATTATTTTAATGTTTCATGTGGTCAAAATTTGCAATTCTTATTAGTCAATGTGATTTGATATAGTAATCGTAGGGTATAAAATAAATTTTGTACATATTATTTCGATTTCCAATGAAAAGTTTTTTTAGAGATATTGTAAATTGTAAAATGCATGAATAAATGCATCTTTATGATTTATGGATTGCATTTTTAAATGCAATTAGAGTTTTAAATAATAAATATTTGCATGTATTATCAACCGGTAATATTTTAAAGGTGTTGAATGTTTATAAACATTTATGTAATGATAGAACATATGTCGATATTGATAAAAAGTTTAATTCGAAGGAAAAACAAATATTAATAGGTCATTTTGTTATGCACAATTCATTGAAAGTAAACAGTAAAGTACGACACTATTATAACATAGAGTCGACGCTCTTGCGATATGTACTGCCTTCTGCTCTGTACAATTGAAATTTGGGTATGAGGCACATAACATTAAAAACTTTATAAATACATAATATATCTCTTAATTTTTTATAATGATGCATTTTCAACAATTATTTTTCAGTATTGTCAAGCAGTCAGTTCCGCGCATTCCACTCCTTCTCGATCAATCCAGTATTCATCAAATCCTTCCACTCCAACGAGCGCTCTGGCTCAATCCGTTCTTTCGGCTATCACTTCTCCTGATCATTGTCCTACAACTCCTTTATCTCATGGTCAATTACCACCTTATTCGCTCGCTTTACAACAGAAACAGAGGAGCTTTTTAACATTTGGATTTGGGGCCGGATCAGGACCTAGCAGGCGAGAAAGCCATGTTAATGTAAACGTAACGCCTACGTCGCATGATATGTCATCAGACACACCAGAGATACGAAAGTATAAGAAGAGGTTTAATAGTGAAATACTTTGTGCAGCATTGTGGGGTGAGTGGAAGAAAAATGATTTTTGTGCATTTTTGTACCTGATATAAATTTGAAATTATAAATTTTTATTACTATATTATTTTATCATTGTTCATCACACATATTTATTGCATTTCTAATAATGCAATATTCATTTCTTATCTAATCACTGGTTCACAAAATTTGAGTTCTAATAAAATCTTAACTTTATATATATTAATTTATAATATATGTTTTATGAATTTATATCATTTTACAAAATTATTTTTCTATGTCAATTAAATTCAGGTCCTGTAATAATTTTTTATTTTCATATTTCAGGTGTGAATCTTCTCATAGGAACTGAAAATGGTCTAATGTTATTGGATAGATCTGGTCAAGGAAAAGTTTATCAATTAATATCTAGAAGACGTTTCCAACAAATGGAAGTATTGGAGGGTCAAAACATATTGGTTACTATTTCAGGCAAGAAAAACCGCGTAAGAGTCTATTATTTATCATGGCTCAAGTCTAAAATACTTAGAACTGATGGACAATCAGATGTAAGTAGATGTTTGTAATTAAATGAATGATAAAATTGTAAATAATAGCTAAATATTATTGCATTTTATTTCAGCAAGTTGAAAGAAGAAATGGTTGGATAAATGTGGGAGAGTTACAAGGTGCAGTTCATTTCAAGATTGTGAAATATGAGCGCATCAAATTTTTAGTGATTGCATTAAAAGATTCTATAGAAATATATGCTTGGGCTCCTAAACCATATCATAAATTCATGGCATTTAAAAATTTCAAAGAACTTGTACATCGGCCTTTGTTAGTTGATTTAACAGTTGAGGATGGTACTAGGTTAAAAGTTATTTATGGAAGTGCTGATGGATTTCATGCTGTTGATCTCGATAGTGCTTCTGTGTATGATATATATTTGCCCAAACATGTGAGTATCCATATATATTAAACCATTGAAATTTATAAAAAAAAAACAAACAAACAAATAAACATTATTTAATTTTAATTACTTTTCAGACGCAGGGAGCAATTTCACCTCATTGCATTGTACCTCTACCTAATTCCAATGGAATTCAATTGCTTTTATGTTATGATAATGAAGGAGTTTATGTTAATACTTATGGTCGAGTGTCTAAGAATATTGTGCTTCAGGTAATACTTGAACAATAAATTAGCATTATCATCTAGATTTGAATCCAATCCTCTTCAATAATTCTCATCTTGATAAAATATAACCATAACTTAGATATGTTATAATAGTACATGAGTTATTTTAAAAATACTTAATTTTTTTAGTCATGTTGTAACATACATCTATAAGTCTTTTCTTATATTAAATTATTTTATGAAAAATTAAATTTTTTTATGCAGTGGGGCGAAATGCCAACATCTGTGGCTTACATTGGAACTGGACAGATCATGGGATGGGGTAACAAAGCAATTGAAATTCGTTCAGTTGAGTCAGGTCATCTTGATGGAGTTTTTATGCATAAAAAAGCACAAAGACTTAAGTTCTTATGTGAGCGTAATGATAAAGTGTTCTTTAGCTCTGCGAAAGGTGGATCATCATGTCAGATTTATTTCATGACTCTAAATAAACCAGGTATGGCTAATTGGTAGATAACATTAAGAACTGTATAGTAATTTTAATCCAAAATCCTAAATGAGTTATGTATACTATAACAAATTTCAGCTGTACTTTGTGTAAATTTATTTTTATAAACCAGAAGGATAATTACAAAAGTTTATGACATTTCATTTTTCTTATAAATAAATTGTCATAAATTTGAAAAATTCTCCTTACATTGGTTTGATAAAGAACACCTGAAATATTATGGTGGTGATTAAAATCTCATTGTAAAAGGATTTTTGTAAATACTCATTTCCATGATCCTATATTTCAAACGATTATTTGTGAATACAAAAGCCAAAATTGTTATTTATATTTATAAAAAATAGTGTTAAATTATTTGTTTGCAAACTTTTTACATATATATTCTTTGGACTTAACTATTTTCTTACATATCTGTAGAAAAATTTAATCCTTTTTATTTGACGAAACATTATTTTGTTAAATTACCTGTGTGATGTGTAAAATTAAAATATGCCTGTAGTTTAAATATTTGTATTAACCAGAAGATTTATCATTCAAAATTTGAATTATTGATAACTAATTCTTTATATGTTTGGCATACACACTTTTAATTTTCAGAGCCCATATTTATTTCATGCCACAATGTTTATTATATTTTAATTGTGGCTGATTTACTGTATTTTAATGTATATGTAAAAATTAGTCATTATGTGGTACTAAGTAAAATTATTTTAGCATTTGTTATGCATTTTTTTCAATGTAACTTTTTATAAATTATTAAGGATATGCTGTTCACTTTTAAATATTAGATGGAACCAAAATATATTATATTTTTTACATGTCATCTCATGTAAAATATGTAAGTTTGTATTTAATATATAAAGAATTATAATTGTGAAACGGATTATTAGCAGTATTGCATAGCACAAACTCTATTCTTTTTCAAAACTTATGACATGTAGTTAAGCAATGATCTAGCTATGTTCGTATGTTTATATAAATATAATACTTTTTATACTTTTTCATTAAAAATATACTGCAAGATGCCAGTAAAATTGTGGTTGAAACACTTTAGAAATATGTTAATGTTAATGTTAATCTCATGTATTTAAAGTTCATATTTTGGTAATATTGAAATAAAAGAGTTTTTATATGCATTGTTCTGCATTTATAAACATATGAGCTTATGCATCAATTAACTCTAAACGAATCAAAATTTTTATGCAATGTCATAATAATCATATTTGTATATTATTGTATTTTATACCTTTAGTTTATGCAATAGCCGCCATTTTTATTATTAAGCAGATATGAAGTAAGACAATCTACAAAATTACAATTTTCAAATAGTTTTTTAAACATTTAATTGGATTTAACTGATCTAAATATACCTTATATTTATTCCTAAGGAAGTGATTACATTTATTATTTTAAAATAGTGCAATAAGACTGTCTATGTTTGTTAATAATACATATGTATTCAAAAAGTATTTGAAATTCTGATATAGTTTGCTCTTTATATAATTTTAGAGCATGAATTATGTAATCAATACATCATATAAATATATATATATATATCCACTTTTATATTCAACATTTATTTTATTTCTTTTCTGTGTTTTTGTCTTTTATTATATTGATTGTATTCAATTTTTATTATCAATTTTAACACAATCAACATCATTGAATTAAATTGTAGAAATAGGACTTATGATATGTATTTTAAAAGTACATAATATATATAATTTAATGAAAAAAGTGAACTATCATCAGCACATACTGAACAAAAGGGATGATCAAAATTAAGCCCATAATTTATATAAAAAACATACACATCAGTTTTATGAAATGTATGTTATTCATATTCCGTATGTATATCATAGTCCATAAAAAATATATTTATACCGTCACAATATGTAATACATTTATACTGACTATGAGGCAAACTATTATATGTTTGTGTATATAATAATAATAAAGTTTATTAAAAAAAATGTTGTTTGTTCCTAATTTCAAAATTAACATTTTGAATATTTTATTTGAAAATAAAACCACAATTTGTTGCTCTTGATTCGGAAAATTGAATATATATAAATATAAAATATATATACATTCATGTAGTACTAGACGGGCTTATTTGTAGTTGGTTCGCTTGGAATTTGTATGCAATGCATTGTATTTATACATATTTTGTTCATTTAATTTTATTTGCTCTTGATTTCTGTGAACTTAAACATATAAATGTATATAATTATATGAATAAGCCATAGATAAACGAATAAATCTGTATGCATGAATATACTTAATTAGAAAAAAAGAAAAATTTAATAAATATTTTTTCAAGAAAAATGAAGGCCCTATATATATCATATTAATTTATTAGTTGATAGTATTTAATGGCGCAAGTGCCATTGCTGTTAGAAAATTGAGTATAAAATAAAGAATATTTGTTTTTAAAAATTCCACGCTGTACGTCTCTCCCTAACAAATGATTAAGAAGTACCAACATAGAGGTATTGAATGTTATTATCGCGCATGAAGTTGTGTGTACTTTATTCCATGCTTGGCCTAAAATAATTCTTTTTTGTCAGCTTCTTTCACGTATGCGGAATTGGTAGGTTACATCAGTATATTATCCTTTAAAATCTTTATATTTAAAAGCCATCGAAACAAGCTGAGTAGTGTTATGTGTTTTTTGTTATGTGTACTTTAATAGTTACTATGATTTTTTGATTCTCGTATTGTTTTATAGTATATTTTTCGATGTGGTGTGCTTACACGCTCTGATAGATTTTTTTTCTATTGCAGCCCTTAGTCTAAAATGGGGCGTGTAATCAGAGCTCAAAGAAAAGGTGCGGGCTCCGTCTTCGTGGCCCATACAAAGAAAAGGAAAGGGGCACCTAAACTTCGTTCACTTGATTTCGCTGAGAGACACGGTTATATCAAAGGTGTTGTCAAGGTATGCTTTTATTGATGAATCTATCATTTTATTAACTAAATGATGTTTATCACTTACCTACTATGAGAATACATGAATAACAAAGAGGCTCTTTCTGATGATTATTTTTTGTTAAATTAATTTATTTTTCTTAATACTTTTTTTACATCATTTGTTAAACATTCCAGGATATTATCCATGACCCTGGTCGTGGAGCTCCCTTAGCTATGGTTCACTTCCGTGATCCATACAAGTTCAAGACCAGAAAAGAATTGTTCATTGCACCTGAGGGTATGTACACAGGACAGTTTGTGTACTGCGGTAAAAAAGCTAATCTACAAATAGGTATGTGTGAATAGTTAGACAAGAACATTCCCTATAATGGAACTACTCTAAATCACTACAAAAATATTTTTTAGGAAATGTAATGCCAGTTGGTGCTATGCCAGAAGGAACCATTGTATGCAACTTAGAGGAGAAAACTGGTGACCGAGGTCGGCTAGCCCGTGCTTCTGGAAACTACGCTACTGTTATTGCTCACAACCCGGACACTAAAAAGACTCGTGTCAAGCTTCCATCTGGAGCTAAAAAGGTTATGCCTTCTAACAATCGTGCTATGGTTGGTATTGTGTCTGGTGGTGGACGTATCGACAAACCTATTTTGAAAGCTGGTAGAGCATACCACAAATACAAGGTTAAGAGGAACTGCTGGCCTAAGGTTCGTGGTGTTGCTATGAACCCTGTTGAGCATCCTCACGGAGGTGGTAACCATCAACATATTGGTAAAGCATCTACTGTTAAGAGAGGAACATCTGCTGGTCGTAAGATTGGTCTTATTGCTGCAAGACGTACTGGTAGAATACGTGGTGGAAAGACAGATTCAAAGAAGGATGATTAGATCATGTGTGTACATTTATAATGAAAATAAAATAAAAAAACGAAATTTGCTTTTTGATTACTCTTTTAAATTGCAGGGAAGATTACATTTTATGCATTATTTATATTTTAAATAAATATATATTTATTCAAAGGTAAAATTTATTACTAAACAAAACAGAAAATTCTTACTAAGTTTATTTAAGGTTTACTAATTCCTACTGATTTCAATTAACATTTAATGAATAAGTTACTCAAGGTCTTAAAATTTTAATTTGACAATGAATTTATTAAAATTGTGTAATTTCTGATCACAATCAGAACATTCACATTTTTTAAATGTGCATTAATAAATTATGCATAGATAAGGAAAATGGTGTAATGGTTTGCAGCAAACTTCTCAACATCTGTGATTTGACGACTGATAACCTTAAAAATAAGGTTCAAATATGTAATTATAGATAAATTTTAATTTTTATTATTTTAGTGCTAAGAAATGGCACCGACTGTTAAACAAAGGACTTTAATGCAAAATAAAAATGAAAAGAACAAGAAAAAGGAACCTAAGAAGTTAAGCAGAAAATCCGGCAGAGTGCAAATAAAGTATTGATTTTTTCCATTAAAATTGTATTTGGAAATGAATATTTTAAAAAGCCAACCCAAGATATTCTTTAATTGATGTGCTTTCAAACACAATGTTCATAAGTTTCCTTTTATAGTGGTTTCAGAATTTGAAGATATACATTTATAAAAGATATAAAATGTTTTTGTTGTATACGCCTTACTTTAGTTGTATTTATTTTTCCAGGGATTCATCAGATGCAAATATTCAGCAAGCTATTCTTTATCCTGAAGTAAGCACTGCATTTAAAGCACTTCTCTCTGCTCGATTTTGTGCAGCGATATGGTCAAATATATCAGATTGCGATGAAACTTTTAATTATTGGGAGCCTACACATTATCTACTCTTTGGACGAGGTCTACAGACATGGGAATACAGCCCAGAGTTTGGATTGAGATCCTATTTTTATTTATTGTTGTGTGGGATGCCAGCTTGGCTGTATGAAAAATTATTCAAACCAAATCCTATGTTAATTTTTTATTTGCTGAGATGTATTTTTGGATTCGTTTGTGCTCTGACTGAAGTTTACTTTTATAAGTGAGTTTTTTATTTGTAAATTTCGGTAGTTCTTAAAATCTTACTGGTTTAATACATTTTAAGGGCAGTTTCTCGTGAATTTGGAGTACATGTATCAAGGCTTTGGCTTTGTTTCCAATTGTTTAGTGCAGGAATGTTTATATCAAGTACAGCATTTCTTCCAAGCACTTTTTCAATGTATCTAGTGAATTTGGCCATGGCTTGTTGGTGGCATAGGCAATTCAAAATAGCTGTCTTTAGTATAGCTGTTGCATCATTAATAGGTAATTGAAATTTTACAATGGAACATTGCACTAACAAGGCTGAAGAAATGTATATTAGCATATATTTTGAGCCAAATCATATAGGATTATAAAAATCATTCTGATTTTAATGCATTAAATTCTAATCAGGTTGGCCATTTACTGCTGTACTTGGATTGCCAATAGTAGTTGATATGGTTATACGACAAGGAATGCTTAAAGAATTTATGAAGTATGCTATTGTGTCAGGGATTATTGTAATATTACCTATGATAGCAATAGATTCACATTATTATGGTCGTTTAATGATTGCACCTTTTAACATTATATTTTATAATGTATTTACATCTCATGGACCTAATTTATATGGTGTTGAGCCGTTTTCATATTACATTATAAATGGATTTTTAAATTTTAATTTCATATGGGTAAGTTCAATTTTTGTTTACTTAGTAAGAATTTTTATCTATTGGTTTTACAATGTGTGAAACAAAATATTTTGAAGCAATTGCTTTGAAATTTCATGTTCTGATACAATATGAAAGTATAGTAGAAAAATGTTAATAATTTTTTTTGTAGGTCTTAGCATTGCTTGCTCCATTAATATTAATTTATGCCTACTTCCTAGTGCCTGCAAAAGTGTCATCAACTCTTTGTGTGCCTCATTATCTCAGTTTAGGGCCATTATTTATATGGTTAATGATATTCTTTGCGCAACCACATAAAGAGGAAAGATTTCTCTTTCCAATATATCCATTAATTTCTTTATGTGGTGCAATTAGTGTTGATGGCATTCAAAAATTATGGTATCGATTCTTATGCGCTATAGCAAAAACTTCTAAGTCATTTGGCCATTATTTGGAATATACTAATTTTATGACAATCGGAGTTATTTTATTGACAAGCTTGATAGGTAAAATTATTTCATATATATTCTAATATTAATTAGATATTGTTTGTAATTCTCATATTTTTATAGGTATTTCTAGAATTCTGACTTTATTTAATAGCTACCATGCTCCAATGGATTTGATGATGGAAATTAATCGTTTACCAAATGACTACAATTTGAAATCTGATATAACATATAATCTATGTGTTGGTAAGGACTGGTATAGGTATCCAACAAGCTTTTTCTTTCCAAATAAAAATTTCAAATTGCGTTTTTTAAAATCAAAATTTGATGGTATGTTGCCAGCATACTACTCTGAGGAATATAACGGTACTAAAATAATTCATTCATATTTTAATGATAAAAATCAAGAAGCTACAGAATTATATTTCGATATAAACAAATGTCATTTCTTGCTAGATTTGAATACTGAAACAGATTCTGATTTGGAGCCAAATTATGCATTAAATACTAAAGATTGGAATGTATTGAAAAGCTTCCCATTCTTAAATAATCAAAAATCACATTCACTTTTTAGAGCATTTTTTATTCCGTTTTTGGGAAGTAATTATTTAGAATATGGTGAATTTAATCTACTATTAAGTACAAAATTTAGGTTGAGTTAATAATTTATGGATTTATTATATAATTGTGCATTTTGCTCCATACTTATGTGATACTTATTTGTAATAAATTAATACACATTCTCTTTAAAATGGGTTTATATTTATTATATATGTTTAACAAATAAATTATAGCTCATTTAAAATATCTTTTAGTGTTTAGCTGATTTACCTGTGGAAATTAATAGACATATGTTCATCAATTTTTTGTACCATAAAATCCGAAATGGAATTATTCCTTCCAAGACAACTGCTACCTGTAGAGCTCCGGATATAAAAAGAAAGGTAAGTTTATCTTGGAACTTTTACTATAAATATTTATGTATTTATGTCATATGTATTTACATATCCAGGTAAGTCTATTATATCTATGATTAAGTAGTGTTTTTACCGCAAACTTCACATTGTACTTGTGTTTCTGGAAACGTCAAATAAGCGAATCAGATTTGCTCAAGTCGCTTTCGCACTGTTGGGTGTTACCCAATTAATTATTTTGATTAATGTTTAATACCTCCACAATTTTACAATGGTTTCTTCGTCAACCAGTTCGTTAATAACTAAGAAGAAGGACAACGATGTGCAGGAAAATCTTTGGACATCTATATTGAGTGAAGTCCAACAACAAGGCAGCACCAAATTACCAAGTTGTAAGAATGTATTAGTACTGGGCAATAATGAAAGTGGTAAAACTACTCTAGTTGCCAAATTGCAAGGAGTAGAAGATCCAAAGAAAGGATCAGGTCTAGAGTATGCCTATATCGATGTCAGGGATGAATACAGAGATGACCACACAAGATTATCTGTTTGGGTTCTAGATGGTGATGCTGGGCATACCAATTTATTAAAATTTTCTTTATCGGAGGAAACCTTTGAACACACTTTGGTAATTCTAACTGTATCAATGACAGCTCCATGGGGTTGGAAAGAACAACTGGAACATTGGACAGAGATTCTTAAGAATCATATAAAAAATTTGGATTTGACTAAAGAACAGAGAGAATTAGCCCACAATCAACTTGTACATTGCTGGCAGGGTTATTGTGAACCAGGTGATGAATTGGACCCAGGCAGCCCAGTCAAAAGGTTACCAAAAAGAGATATGAGTAGAAGTAGCATTTCTGATTTGGATGATTCAGATGATACTTTGACAGAAGGTGCTCTATTAACAAATTTAGGTCTCGAAATTGTAGTGGTTGTTACAAAAACTGATTATATGACCACTTTGGAGAAGGAATTAGACTATAGGGATGAACATTGGGATTTTATGCAACAATGGATTCGTCGATTTTGCTTAGAACATGGAGCTGCTTTATTTTACACTTCAGCTAAAGAAGACAAAAATTGTGATTTATTGTACAAATATTTGACTCATAGAATTTATGGCTTTCCATTCAGAACTCCTGCTTTAGTAGTTGAAAAGGATGCTGTTTTAATTCCAGCCGGTTGGGATAATTTGAAAAAAATAAGTATTTTGCATGAAAACTTGCATACTTGTAAACCAGATGATGAATATTCAGAAATCATAGCACAGCCAGCTACAAGAAAGTCTGTAACTAGTAGGGAAAATGAAATAGTAGCAGAAGATGAACAAGTATTTTTGGCTCGTCAACAAAATCTTCTTCAAAGTAATGGAGTATCTAATCTACCACTGGGTCCAGGGGGAAGTACTTTGAGAGGCTCTGAGTCACCTTTAAGACCATCAGTTAGTCTTACAGCTCCTAGAACACCTTCAACTGCTGTACAATCGCCTAAAAAAATGGACGGTGTAAAAATGGTGCCCGGCACCCCAGGTGGTGAGGGTGTTCTGGCAAACTTTTTTAACTCTTTATTACATAAAAAAGCTCCCACTCCATTGAATTCTCCCAAAGTTAATTTAAATATGAGTGGATCAGAGTTGAGTCATGATCAACAAGCAGGCTTAAGGTCAGATGCTGCAGCTGAACTTGATAGGCTGACCAGAAATAAGAAAACACCATCTTCAGATGTAGATTCATCTGAATGCTAGAACTCTAACATTTTTGCAGTAACTGCAATAACATAATTAAACAAAGTTTATAGACATATTTAATTTAAAAATCTTGATATTTATATTGTTATTATTTACACTTCTATACTCGGTAATAATTTATTAATGCATAATATTTTAGCTTTATAATTAATAATTTGGTGCAAAATTCTTTATATTTAAATATATTTTACTTGAATTGAAACTTGTTTTTAATGTTCAACAAAAAAAACTTCCTAGTTTGCTAAATATATTTTGAAACCAAATTTAAATGAACTGGACAACATTTTTAACAATTTTTCTTAATATCCATCATTTTCAATTCATACATTTGTATCAATATTGCTATTTGAGGAGCTAAACTTGGTACAATATTAAAATGCAATATTCTAATAAGTAAAATAAATATTTATATTTATATGAATAGGAAGAATAATTTTTAATCACATTTCATATTTAAAGTTTGTTTACAATAATATATTAAAGCTCTCCATGGATAATTTCATTATCTATTTCATCTTCACCACACAAGGAAGTCAACTCATTGCATACCTGTAATTTAATGAACAAATGTAATGAATGTTTAAACTATTATTGTTTATTCATACCTTATTGTGTAAATTATCTGTGCTATGAACCAGAAACTGTATTATTTCATCTTCGTTATCACCAAGAATACCTTCACACTATATTCAAGAATATTAAATATAAATTAAATCCTTATTAAATATGATAGAAGTCTAGAATTTATAGCAATACATACATAAAATTTCAAGCTTTTATTCAAATCTCCATCTTGCACTACATCCACTTCAGACATCTTTGGATTCATTTTTCCATCCTTCGACACAATTCTCAGAAGAGTTAATTGCTTTGTTGTTTTCGTTACTGCACGAACATAATCGTCCATCTTATTACCTTGAACATGTAAATTATAATAATATACATGTAGATAAGGAATATATATATATATATATATATATATATATATATATATATATATATATATGAAAACGAGTCTAAACAATGAAATGACATACAAATAGAATCCAGTAAGTCGGATAAATAAACTTCAGATTTTGTATATGGTATTGTTTGTGAATTTGCATTTCCAGAACCATCCAATCGAAAGTTTCCTACATTTACTTTTTTATTTGGATCTACCGAGGCTATATCATCCAATAATTCATCTACTGTAGCTTGACATACTAAAAACAGTAAATAAATAATGTATTTATTTTTCTTATTTTTATTTTAGATTAAAACAACAAACTTACCTAAGCATTTTAATTCACCAAGATTTATTTGGCATTTTGCTAAAGTTTGCATTAAACATAATATTACTAATATAAAATAATAGTTCATTTTTTTATTGGTATATTTTCTGAAGATAGTATATTACTTGAACAAACAATGCTAGATAATAAATAACAAAAGAAGTTTTATGGTAATTTTCATAGTAAACAACGTAAGACACGTTGCTTGTTATGATTGGTTATAGGCCGGTTAGAGATATAATTAATTGAGGTCGAATTTTATTAAAATATTTTCGAATCGTAATCAATGGACATTAGTATTGCAATAGATAAAAGTCAATCTACTTTATTCATATGAAGTTCTTTTATTTTATTCATTTACTTATAAGAAAATGTTTTGAATGTCACATTTAACAATATATTGTTAAATGTGACATTCAAAACAGTGGTGGCAGCACTGGTTGTTATTTCGGCCTTAATTTTTGCCTATCTTTCTCTAAACATGAACCTGATTAGAAACATTTCATGTTAACCATTTTTCTTTGCTAAAATTAATTAAGTTTTATAAAATATCAATGAAAAATGGGCAAAACGTTTTTTATTAACTATATTTCCATTTTTCTTTAATTTTTTACCAGCACCACGTAATAAAGATTTCAACCTCTCTCTCATCTTTGGTGTATAATATTTTAGAATATTTTGTGGTGATTAGAGAACATTAAAAAATTATGTACATATCTATATATGAATACGTAAAATATAATATATTATAAATTTTATTAAAACACCAGTTGACAAAACGTCTAAAAGTATTTTTTAGCGTGGGGTGCATAGCATCATGCCTGAACTTCCCATACCGTAATTAAAAATCTTGGTACGGAACCCAAAAAAATTTACACAAAATGTGTAAACATTATTAAAATCGAAAATTTGTATCCGCACACACACATACACACACGCACACAAATATCAATTTTTTCTAATTTTCTAAGGTATGCCCCAGAACGTTAAAATACTTCGATTTTTTTGCAATTTTACTATAACTTGCCCTGTGGGAAGTTAATAATTGAGTAAACTAAATGTATTAGATTATAACTTAATCCTAAAAGAAAATACAAAAGGCAAGCATAAATGTGTGAGAATTGTTTTTATCATAGATAAGGGGTTTTCATAGTTTATAGCAGTTTTTTTTTCTTTACAGACAAAATTACCTAGCGACATCTTTTATCAGTGCATTTAAACAAATATTAGTCTAGCGTAGATGTTTGCTAACTCAATTTAAAGTGTCAAATTTTAACAATTATTATATTATATTAATAAAGCGTTTATCCTATTTTATTAATTTTATTTTTGCAACATAAATAAAACTCATTTTACGAAATATAATTAATTATTGAACCATGTTGAGAAATGCAAAAATCTAATATGAAATAATATATTTTTATCGTTTGTATATCTTAAAATAAACACAAAATTAGATAGCGTATAATGATTGGAAGTAAAGGTATAAAGAATAGTTAAATAATTCAGTTTTTCTACCATTCTGATACTATATCAAGATTGTTTTAAGGTGAGTTCATTTATAGGTTATGAGTAATAAAGCTATGTTTTAGGATTTGTTTGTTCATACGATGTTTCGTATGAAAAGCTATGGTTATTTTTAAATTTAATTACAGAACAAAATAATACATGCGAAAAATTACGAACGTTATCTATATAAATAACAACAATGTGTGCTGCAGTCGTCAATTTAAGTACAACCAATATTCCACCAATGTATTACAGAATATTATCGAAGTTTCCTCAAAATGTGATATTCTGCTTTGGATATGGTTCTGGTGTGAAAAAACAAATAGGCTACAATAAAACAGAGCCTATGATTGATATGATATTTTGTGTAGATAACTCTTATCGATGGCATGAAACCAACCTCGCTCAGAATAATAGTCATTATTCAGTTTTAAAATACTGGGGTCACAATTTCATAGCTAAATTCCAAGAGCAGTTTGGTGCTAAAGTTTACTTTAATACACTCGTACCTATTCCTGATGAAAATATTATGTTAAAATATGGCGTTATAAGTTGCAAGGATCTTGTAACAGATCTATTAGATTGGAGTGATTTGTATTTAGCTGGTCGAATGCATAAACCAGTGACAGTTGTGAAAGCGACATCAAATGCTCAACTACAAGCTGCTCTACATCTGAATTTGCATTCTGCTGTTCATGCAGCATTACTGTTGTTACCAGAATTTTTCACTGAATATGAATTGTATTATACAATATGTAATTTAAGTTATTCTGGTGATTTTCGAATGCTACTTGGGGAGGATAAAAATAAAGTTAGAAACATAGTTTTGCCTCAGATGGAAGAGTTCAGAATTCTATACAAACCAGTGCTTCAGGCTTTTCAAACTTGTTTAGATTTTCCACCTGATAAAGCAGAAAGTGCAAGAATCAGACAAGACATAAGCCCTTTAGTGAAGCTACATCATTTAAATCAATTACCCAAAAATCCTCAAAAAGGAATTGTGCGATACTGGAATAGAGGTAATTTTCAACAAGACACAGAAGATGTGCTAAGGGCTGTTGCTTATGACCCATACTGTGGAGAAGTTGTAAAAAATAGCGTGAAAAATATAGTATGGAAGTCAAGTATTTCACAGTCTTTAAAAGGAATTGCAACAGCAGGTTTTATAAAATCAATCAAATACGGTGGACGCAAGTTGCTAAAAACTTTTATATAGAAAATAATGTCAAATTAATATTTTGTAATGCTTATTACAAAATTGTAATTCTAGTTGAAAATAAAAGCCAGTGATTGTTTTAATTTATGTTTTATTGTGCTTTTTCCTTATAATAATTGCAATTCCCAAGGGTGCTACTAAATTGCTGATGCAAATAATAACTTAAAGTATAAAATAATCAGGTTAATTAAAAGGAAAAGTGCATCTTTAATCTATATTTTTTATTTTCAGATTATCATGTTTTCTGATTCAAGTACTGATTCAGACTCTGGTATTCGATTTAAAACTACAACTACTCGTCAGGTAAATGATAAATCAACTATAAGATCACGGTCACCTACAAGATTAGATAGACGTGATAACTTATATGACCGCCGAGATGACAGGTCTAGAATTTCTTCTAGAAACAGAGATAACGATGATAGGAAATCAGATAAATTTGAATGCTCTAGATCTCATTATAAAAGTGACTCAACTAAGTCAGACAGATGTCGAGAATCTGATAGAAGTCGCGATGGTGTTCGAGGTCGAGACTTAGATAGGCAACGAGATTCAGATAGAAATCGAGATTCTGATAGAAACCGAGATTCGGAAAGAAATCGAGATTCAGATAGAAATCGAAATTCAGAGAGAAGTCGAGATTTAGATAAGAATAAAAATTTAGATAAAAACCGTGATGTAGATAAATATCGAGATTCAGCCAAAAGTCGCGATTCTGGAAAAAGTCATGATTCAAATAAAAATCGAACATCAGACAGAAGTCGTGATATAGATAGAAGTAGAGATTTTCAAAAAGATAGAGATTTAGATAAAAAGGAAGAACCTGAAGGAAACAGATTAAGAGAGAAAGATCGAAAAGAAAATAAAAGCTATAGAAGCCTTGATAACAGTAAAGGTAAAAGTTCATCAATCGAAAGAAAAGCTGCGCGTACTGATAATAATATCTCAAAATCTACTCACACTGATGATGCCATGGATAATGAGAGAAAGGCCACAAAAAGCAATGATGATGTAAGAAATACAAAGGAGAGTAAATATGAATATGAGAGTGATGAAAACAAATCAAATGATAAAACTGAAAGCAATAAACTCAAAAGTTCTAGTGGAAAAAAGGCTGAATACAATACAAAGAATAATATATTAGAGAAAAATGACACTTGTAATGAAAAAAATGGAAAAACAAAAATGAAAAAATCAGATGACTTAAATGAAACTTGCACTAGTGGCAATGACAATGATAAAAATGACAAAAGTACAGATTTATTAAGCGATTTGAGCCTGGAATTGATAGAATGTAACGAAAATAAAAATTATGAAAATGATTTCAAGCACAAATCAAAAAAATTAAAACGACCTAAACACAGTAAGAAACACAAGAAGAAAAAACTTGATTTAAGTGAAGGTGAGCTTACACCCTCTGATAATGATAATGATCTAGAAATGTATAAAAGATTTTCTTCTACTGAAAAGAATATATATGATCAAGAATCCAGTTCTAGGGATCTCATAGGACCAATGATTCCTCCAGAATTCAGAAAAACTATAGAAAATACAGAAACTAAAAATATTATAGAAATATCAGATTCTGGTCAAATTAGTTCAGATGATGATACTTATGGACCATTGCCAACATCAAGTACTAAGATGACAAAAGCACATTATGAATTAGAAAAAAGAGCTCTTGAAATAAAAATGGATAAGATGAAGGAATCAGATGCACCTGATGAAAAATTGAGAGAAGAATGGATGATTGAGCTACCCGATTCAAAAAGCCGACATTTAGGCTTAGGGCCACGGAAATTTAGAGCACGAGAAGGTCCAGATATGAGCGACAGGTATCTCTTCTAATAAAAATAATGCATTTTACATTCAATGTCTTACAATAAAACATTTTGACTTATAGATCAATATGGACTGATACACCCCAAAATAAAGCAAAATCAAGAGGTGAGACAGAAAGTGAAACTAGCAGACGAATTGCAGATGAAGCAGATAGATTAAGAATCCAGGAGAAAGACACCCAACAAGAAAAAATTGTGAAGAAATTAAAAAAGAAACATAAGCGAAATGAATCTTTACTTGAAATACACGAAAGAAAAATGAGGAAAAAGAAAAAGGTATATTAAAATGCATATTGTTTCTAAATGACTTCTAGAAAAGAGGAATTTGTATATGCATTGCATTTTTCTTCTTGAATAATGCTTTTAAATGCTAATCATTGTTCTATTATAAATGTTTTAATAAATGTTTTTATTCAATTTAAATATTATGTGGTGATAATAATATTACTATAAATACTTTTTAGAAAGAAAAAGAAGCAGGAATGAGTTCAGAACGAAGAAGATTTGATCGCAATATTGATTTAGGTGTTAATAGATTTGATGAAGCACAGAAAAAAACTATAATAAAAAAAGCACAGTTGTTGGATACGCGATTTTCGAGAGGAGAATCTAAATATCTATGAAGAGTTTTAAATGTGTTTAAATGTGTAATTATTTTATATGAATAAATTTTACCAATCACATCGTTCACTCTTCTATACTATACTTTTACTACACTAGATATTTTCTTTGCATTCAAGCAATTGCATTATTAATAATATTATTTACTAATATAATATTATGATTTGCATCAGACAATGCCCCTGACTGAGATTCAGTACTTATAAACATTAATTTTAATAAATGAAAAAGTTTGTTCTGTTTCGAAGAGAAATGCATGCATTAAATGCACACATTTCCAGTGAGTTTGTAGCTAAATTGTAAAGTGTTTAGTTTTTATAATTAATTTTAGATTTGTATCACTTTTTAACTTCCCGTAGGGTAAGTTGTAGTAATCGCAAAAAATCGAAAATGAAAATTTTTATATATCTTTACGTTTTAACGGTTTCTGAACATTTTGGCATCCTTAGAAAAAATGGATGTATGTGTGTGCATGTGCGGATACAAATTTTCGTCGACGATTTCGGGAACACGGTTCAACCGATTTCAATTATTCAAAAAACTATCGATTCGTATTGATAAGGAGACGTGCTGATTAGTTTTTGGCGAAGGCAGGTCTAGCCGTTCCGAAGATACGGGATGAAAAGTGGCCAAAACGGTAACATTTTACTTGTATTAATATGATGAAAAACTGATTAAATTTTTGGGAAGGCAGGCCCAGCGGTTATGGACTCTCAATAAAAATATGTTAAAAAAATTTTTTTGGCGGTCAAAAATGTTTATTGGACATATGTACATCAAATTATAAGATATTTTATAGAGATTTTAATAATGTGTACACATTTTGTGTAATTTTTTTTGGGTTCCGTACCAAGATTTTTAATTACGGTACGGGAAGCTTTAGCAATTTGCCTTAAGGCACGATGCCATGCACCCCAGTAGTTAATTTTTATTTAAAATGAAGGAAAAATAAACAGTGTCGCCATCACTACAAGTAAACTAAAATTAAGGAATAATTGCTTGCAAATTTTTATATCAGAGTGGCAATTTCGGCTTGTCAAATACTCACAAGTCAAGCGTTGTTTATTTGAGGTTATGTCACTTCGAACAAGGCTAATATTGTAGTAAAATCTCTTAAAATGTCGAATTGTGTAGTAAAAATAACAAATAAACAACAATGCTTGCTTTCAAAGTCCTTGCCGGTAGATTCTGATTTGAAAAATATCACCAGCAATTTGCTTACTATGAAACAAGAAGTAAATAACTTTCTAACAAATATGATTGAGAATGACAATGACGCCAATGCAATTGTAGAGGAATCAGCGGAATCAGAGTCAGATGAAGGTAAATTAATAACTTAAATTGATTAGTTTATCATTTTATAATATTTTCCACGTTTTAGGGGATAGTCCAAATAACACTACGTGTACTGCAACTTTAGTACAATCTAATAAGAAAATAAAAGTATCCTAAATGATCTTATTCTACAATATCTATTCGATAATGTTGTATTATCAAATGTATCTTGTAAGCGAAAGGTTTTGTATATTTCAGAATGAAATTTGCATAAGTATTCAGTAGTGTGCTTGCAAAAACATTGCTATGTAACTTCAATAACGTTGTAACATTGCCTTTTATGAAAATAAAAACATATTGGTTTGAAGTTGTAAATTCGTTTCGTTATTAACTATTTTATATTTTATCATAAGATATTAATTTGGTAATATCAACTGTGCTTGTTTTTCCAACAGATGGTGCACCTATTTCACAGCATCAAATGGCTGTTTTCACAATGTGAATGTTCCATATTGAACTGCTGTTTTAGGTAATTTAATCAACATTTTTAGGCATGGGGACTATTATAATTTAATTCTATATTTATTTATTTCAATATCTCTTTCTTTAGTACTCTTTATTTTGTGGTACTTTACGATAAATGTTCTTTGTTACAGTGTTATACGAATATTTATTATATTATATTTATTATATTTATTGAAAAATATGTGATATACTGAAACTATATATTATATATATATATATATATATATATTTATATATATATATATATATATATAGTATATATATAATCAACATTTTTAGGCATGGGGACTATTATAATTTAATTCTATATTTATTTATTTCAATATCTCTTTCTTTAGTACTCTTTATTTTGTGGTACTTTACGATAAATGTTCTTTGTTACAGTGTTATACGAATATTTATTATATTATATTTATTATATTTATTGAAAAATATGTGATATACTGATACTATATATATATATATATATATATATATATAATATATATATATATAGTATATATATAATCAACATTTTTAGGCATGGGGACTATTATAATTTAATTCTATATTTATTTATTTCAATATCTCTTTCTTTAGTACTCTTTATTTTGTGGTAACCAATAAAAACATATTGGTTTGAAGTTGTAAATTCGTTTCGTTATTAACTATTTTATATTTTATCATAAGAAAGGTTTTATATATTGCAGAATGAAATTTGCTTAAGTATTCAGTTGTGTTCTTGCAAAAACATTGCTATGTTATTTCAATAACGTTGTAACATTGCCTATTATAATAATAAAAACATTGGTTTGAAGTTGTAAATTCGTTTCGTTATTAACTATTTTATATTTTATCATAAGATATTAATTTGGTAATATCAACTGTGCTTGTTTTTCCAACAGATGGTGCACCTATTTCACAGCATCAAATGGCTGTTTTCACAATGTGAATGTTCCATATTGAACTGCTGTTTTAGGTAATTTAATCAACATTTTTAGGCATGGGGACTATTATAAATTAATTCTATATTTATTTATTTCAATATTGTTATGATATCTTATTAAGGTTATAATCTGTTTCTTTAGTACTCTTTATTTTGTGGTACTTTACGATAAATGTTCTTTATAACTGTGTATTTATGTTTACACCGATATACAATATTTATTATATTTATTAAAAAATATGTGATATACAAAAATATAATATGTGTATATTATACTATGCCTATACTGTATAGTATATATTTATAAATATATATATATATATATATATATATATATATATATATACTATATATATATATACTATAGTATAATATACTACATAGTATAGTATATTGTACTATGTATATATAGCATAATATATTTGATATTTAGTTTTTAATCGATAACCTAAATTTTTGTACGATAAATTTTTTTATCATGGTCTTCCTCAATTTGTTTATAAATGCAAATCTTATAGTTTCCAGTATGATAATTAGCAATGTATTAATATTAATTTCTAAACTAAAGAAAATATTGTTTTACTGATTTTGAGAATCCTCGTGTTGCGCGCGCATTTTGGTCCAGCTTATCGTGTGCGCGAATATTCTACACCCAACCATTTCCCCCACTTCACTATTTGCACCCTTGCGCATCTTTGCTCCAAAGGTTCTGAAAATTTTATTTTTTTAATATGTGAATAATATAATTATTTAAAAGACTTGGAGATTTCTAACTAGAAAGTTAGAGGATAACATTATTCTATAGTTGTATGTTATAACAGATATAAAAATATATTTTAAATATAAATTTTAAAATTTTGTTAAAAAGTAATTTGTAAATATATAAAAATGTATAGGGAATAATACAAAATGTCTCAATAAATATTAAATAGAATAACTTAGATTGCATTAAATCAATCTGTAATGATCATTTATTCAATTTTAATTGCTTGACCAAAATATCACTTTTGATGCCAAAATATTGTACATACTTAATATTTGTCAAATAGTTTTTTGTTGATACTTTATATTTATATTAATAACATATTAATCTAAAATCCTCTTAAGAAGTTTAAAATAGTTATATTCTGATCCTTATAGTCGTTTCCATTTATTCAGACCTTGTACGTTCAATTCCAATGCATTTATTATTAATTTTGTGTTTTTCGTTCTCAAATGTTCGATAAAATATATAGCCATGTATCGAATTTTGATTGTGGTAATTAGATAAAAAAATATTTTTAGATAAGTGGTTTATATATACGTTGGTTTCAATTTTGTACTAAATTATGTACGACAGTATTTTAATAAAGGATTAGTAAATGTAGTTCCACACATAAATTATTACTATTTTTATAATATGAACAATTTGTGATTGTACGATGCTTAAGTGCAATTGCTTAATCACTATGTTACGTGGAATTACTTTTTCATAAAAACAATATTTGAGTTTGTGCAGAACGAAATTTTGGGTTTAATTATACATCATCTCATCGTAAAATGTTATTATTTAATCAACATGTTTTACAGGTCTGTTAATTTTTTTTAAACATGTAATTGATGATATTCCAAATCCAAATTGATCAATGTTAAATTTCTATGTTGTTATTACGTTGAATTTCCAAATTAGTTCATGGTTTAGGAAACTCTGGCAGGCGTTAGTATTCCTCTCGAACCGTAGTCCTCCGAGCCGGATTTTCTGCAAACGTTGTGTGTGCCCGAGACGAGAGCGCGCACCATCGCGTGAAACCCCAACGTGCATTCACGTTTAGATGACGACGGATTCTCATGTTTGTAGTGATCTTGAGTTATTTTAAAAAGAATATTTTACTCTTCAATTAGCGATCTGAACAATTTTTAACTATACAAACAACATTTTTGTGATGTTTTATTTATCTCGTTTTAAATTGTTTCAGTCTTTTTATTCTACCGGTACATTTTCTATACCCTTATGAAATTGATCTCGACATTTCGTGATCTCAGTGAACTAAGTCGTGCGGTTATTACAATCGGCCGGTTTCGTTGTTATTCAAGTATATCGATTGCATCGTTGAAGTTATCCGTTGTCTCAATATTGACGTGAATTGTGTGAATTTTGTGCAAAGTGCCTATTCGTGATCATATCTCGTCAAATTTTTCCCAGTGCAAAATGTGAAGTTTTCAAACAATCGGAACTAATACACTTTGCAGGTGAAGGTCAATTGTGTTCTCCAGCATTTATAACATTTGATCAAAAAT